CTGGGTTTTTTAATCCTAGCAAGAGACAAAGCCAGGGAGAAAACGTTTTGAGCAATCATTTTACCATCAGACAATGCTACTCCACCTGTCTGAGAGTATAAACTGGAATACATGAAAGCTGGACCTGAAACAATCAAGGGAATAAGTTGGAAGTTGTCATTTATTAGTCATTCACTGAAAAAAAAACCCTGCTGCTTACACCGTACGGGTCGAAATTCTAATCTCAAATCACTGTTCCAGGAATTAAAATTTGCCGTTCTTTTTCCAACCCTCATCCCCCAACCTCCAGTATCTGAACATTCTTTCTACATTGGGAAAATTGCACATTTAAAGAGTCTTGGTAGGAGTTAGAGAACACTTTCTTTCACTAAAGAGGAAAATTCACTTTCCCCAACATTACTGCGATTAGATAATTAGAGCCTTCATGAAATTAGAGGCTTTGGCTCTACCAGCCTGATGACAGCATATTGGCCTTTGATTAGGATGTGGTGACACAGAAAACCTGGAATGGTGCAAAACACATTTTGGTAAAGATGGCATGAGTGGCCGTAGGAATGTCGTTTCCAGGAGCAGCAGTGACAGTAGTCTTAGCTGCAGGGTCCAGTATTCAGCATCAGTATCAATGTTTTTAAAAGCAAAGGTAAAATTTCTTCAGACTTAGCCGATGCCCTCACGATGAAAACAACTTTTCTCTTTGTGAGCAGCAGCAGGGGCAGAGGTTCCTACGTGGGACCCGGGCTAGGCTGGGACTGTGGATTCTGTCCCTGGCCATATAGTCTCAAGCTTCACTCTGTGTCTTTCCCCAAAATAAAATAGGTCCATACCATATATAAAAATTGCTTCATGTTTAAATTAGAAAAGCTTTCAATCCAGTTTTTCTCCATGAATTGAGTGAGAAACCAGTCTGGGGAGTTGTTTCAGAGAGTAGTGTTCAGAGATTTTTCATTATGCTCACCTGAAAGCCATGTCCTAAATCTTTGATCTGCCTATACTCCATGGTAGAGAAAATGACATTTGTTAACCAGCATCAGGTATCATAATTGAGGGAAAATGTCCTCCCTTTTCTTTCCCAGGAAAAAAATATCTAAATGTGGATTTAAGACCCTTCCCCACTCTGGACGCTCTCTGACCACTGGCCTCAGTGGTTCCACATCTGACTGAGCACCAGGATTGCTTGTGGGCTTGTAATACTCAAGCTTCTCCTAGACCTACAGTGTCTTAATGTTACGCATAGAGTTCAAGAATCACTTATTTAACAAGCCTTACAGGTGA